TATCTTTTGCATTAATCTACAAAATACCAATAGACCTACACCTGAAAATATTGTTGAAATTTTAATTTATGAAGAAAGAAAACATATAGCTTGGGATGGTGTGCAGCATTTAAATAGGCTTAACGTAATTTAAATTCCGATTAATATTTTGCACCTATAATATTTTATTTTATTAACGTCATTGAACAATTGACCCAATTGTTTGGGTTTACGACTACTAATGTTCAACTCCGTAGCCTTGGTAATTTTGAACCAAATCCAGAAGACGAGAGAACTCCTGGATCAAGTATTTAGAAAAATTTGCCTATAAGTATGACTTTTTGAGGGAATTAACTAGCATTTGCGTTATATGGAGAGGAAAACCATGAAAACCTCCCATGGTTAGCCTAACGGCAAAGGAACTCTAACCCATGATCCGTCTACTTTTCAGGATATTTTACATTAGCATTATGGTCGGTGCGTGCCGGATGCGGAATTCGTATCGAACAGCCATCGCTGGGATTTGAACCCGGCTCACCTCATTGAAAAGCGAGCACTCTGTTCTCTGAGTCACCACGGCCCGCACCTATGATATCGTTTTTTTTTTAAATTAAAAAATAAAATTTCAAATATTTCAGGATAATGTTTTATTTTTTTTTGGCAAAATTGNATATTTGGGGATAATGTTTTATTTTTTTTAAATTAAAAAATAAAATTTCAAATATTTCAGGATAATGTTTTATTTTTTTTATAATATAGATTACTAAAAGAAAATGGCTTAAAATTTATACCGCGGTTAAAACTATTTTTAGTAATAATAAATTCAACAAGCTCCTTCCTTCAAATTTCTAATTATTGAATCGTTGCTAATTATTCGAACTACGTTAGGTGATTGTTGAATATTCTTAGAATATTACTAATGCATGTCAAACCTCTTAGTTCTAGCGTAAACAACAGTCATTAATCACATGTGTGCAAACTAATCATTTCTGAATTATGATTATAAAACATAATTGTATAATGTTGACGGAAACTAATAATTACATGTATAAATCTTAGATGATTCATGCTGATGTTTCATGGTAACTATAATTAAAATTTATAAGTAATATTTAATAACTGGGTAATTAAAAATTGAAAAAAAAACATTAGAAATATTTTTAAGGACTTTGAGATTATCTTCATCTAATCGACGTGAGAAAAATCAGAGACAACTTTTTTTAGGAATTTAATGTCTCCTAAAAAATCTAAAATCAATATATAAAAAAAGCATCCCTATTTGTTCTTCAAAATTCAATATAAATAACTTCACTCTAAAAATTTATTGTGCTAAAATGTGTCAAAATAGCTCTTAAGAACCCAATAGTTGAGTTTGAAAATGTATTCAAATCGAAACAGCCCTTGCTACAAAATAACTTGGGCAAATATTCACGAATCTTGGCTCAATAATTGTTTTAATTGTTTTTCCGATATCGGCCCTATATAGAATTTTGCGATTCACCCGATATTTAACAGCCTTTTTACAACGGATATCGGCCCTATATAGAATTGTCAGATTCACCTGATATTTCATATTGTTTATTTAGCCAATATCGGTTCTATATTAGACAATGTAGGCCTTATATAGGCCATTCTAGCACCAATATTTTACTTATTTACTTTCACAACCGTCGTTGTTCAACGACCCAGTTTTTGGGTTTACGAACGCTAATGTTCATCTCCGTAGCCTTGTAAATTTGAACCCAATCCAGAAGACAAGGGAACTCCTGGATCAAGTATTATGAGAAATTTGCCTTCGTGGAAGACTTTTTGATGCAACTAACCCGCATTTGCGTTACATGGAGAGGAAGACCACGAGGAACTCCCTCGGTTAGCCTGACGGCAGGGGGACTTTAATCCATGATCCGTCTACCACTGAAGATATTTCACGTTAGCACTGTGGTCGGTGCAAGCCGGATGCGGAATTCGTATCGACCAGCCATCGCCGGGATCGATCCCTTGTTCCCCTCATTGGAATGCGAACGCTCTATCCCCTGAGCCATCGCGGCTCTCTAGGGCCAATATTATAAAAATCTATAGACATCCCATTGGTGGTTCCTCGGTGCATGCTCATATAGGTCCCATATTGAGCCAATTTTGAGCCCAACTGGAGGAGCCAAGGTAAAGCTGTTGCTAGGGGGCATATACTCATTTTTGAGCAAAATGGATAGTCTCAAAATTAAAGTGATGTGAAAGGAAAAATGTGTGAGAGAGATGTTTGTTGACTGCCAGTAGAGTTCGAACCAAGGATCTCCGGGTTCAAACTAGGATGCACTAACCATTCCCAGATATCAAAATAAGGTTTATTTTCATTCAGTAAAAACCTTTCAATGTAAACCTGAAAAGGGTTGTTATGCGGTTTACGTGAAAACCTTCAAACCTTAAAACGAGATTTCTGACTATCTGCTCTATTCTATGCATATTACCCTAATCAACCAATGGGTAACCAGTGATCGTAATAGAGCGATCACAGCTTTTATTTAAAAATAATACAGTCAAAAACATGCAGATTCACGTATGTTGCACGTATAGCGAAATTTATGACAGCGTTTAATAGTCGAGTGAAATCACATAGCATTACGAGTATTTAATTATTATTTTTTAAAATTTTTTTTTTCAAGAACAGCCCACCTACTTAAGAACAGTAAACCAATCAAATGTGCAAAGAACTTTAAAGCGCAGTAAAATTAAAAATAGCTTTCTTTGGGAAACCATTGAACCAAAACGGTATTACAATCTTAGTTTTTCTACAATTGAATGTTAAAGCTATCTCTATTCAATCGAAAAATAAAAATAAATCTTAAAAAGCCGTGGTTGATTTGCTACCTAATCATCCAAATCAATCTTCCATATCGAGAAAAAAAATAATCAATGAAATAATAAGTTTCTTCTGTTAACTTATGGATTAATAACTACAGAAAGTGATAAGCACAAACAGAACAAAGGGCATACGGATTACTAGGAAGCAATAGATAAGTATTGTTTTTAGACATAATAAAGATAAGCGCTGCTGCTTCCAAAGAATATAAGATATCCTTATTTTCTCAAGGAAATGAGTCGCTTATTCCGGTTATAAATATACAGTTAATTATCTTATTCAATGCATCTTGGCGGTTCCTTTGTTATTTCCTCTTGAAGCTTTGATTAATTTTAAACGCAATTAAAATGTTGTTATGATGAACAAAGAAATGTTTTCTACAAAAAGCTTTTAATCAAATAATGAATTAATTAGTAAATGGAATAATTTTAAAATATTAGTGTTGAAAAGAATTTCGCTAGTTAAGTGATAATTAAAAAAAAAAGATCTAGCCCATAATTAAATTGGTACGAAATAATGTGTGTAATGGCATAAAAAATAATAAATAGAAAATCTGTACACTTTATACTTGTATTTATTTTGCCACAGCTCTTTCTGCCATATATATATATATA